ACACACACACACACACACACACACAGACACACACAGACACACACACGCAGGGTTGAGTCAAGGCCTGTGGTCACAACAGACATGCACGACTGGTCTCCAGTAGAGAACTGTAAAAAACAAATGGTATTTAAGTTTCTGTCCCCATTTCCTTTCAGTTATCACGTTTTTTTTTTTCATTTTCCTTTAATAAGCTTTAATGTTTGATTAATCTGATCGGGATTAAATTACCACCCTCATTTAACATGCTTTATTTAAACCCATCATTTAATTAAAAGAAAAGAAACTCCTGCATAGTTTGAAGCAGGACTAGTCTCTCTCTTTTATTGGAGGGACTTTCAGCAGGTGATATCTTCTCAAAAGTAGACAGAGACCGAGCGAGAAACTTGATCATCTTCAAACCTGGAAATATTAATCATCGTGTTCGGACCTGTAGCCGCTGACAGCAGCGTGCCAGTAAACCGGTCCTTCTTCTGTGGAAACTGCTGCACCAACAATGCACATCAGGACAAACACAACGCCAACATTAGGAGTTCTTATTTAAATATTTGCCTGTTAGACTGCACACGGGATTAAATATCAGCTTTGGCTTCAGATCGGTCTAAACACCAATATCGTTTTAAGTTTGTGAGATGAGGAGGGGGGGAAAGTCCATCATTTAATGTGCGATAACCGGTGCCAGCGCGCATCCACACACCACGCGCGCAAAACTGCCGATAAGCCCAATAAAAAGGAAAAAAAAAAAAGAAGCAGGGACTTCGATTTTTGTTTTCGTTTCACCTCGATAACATCACATCCGTCCGCTACCGCTGCTCTCCCTCCGGGCTTACCTTGAATCGCACTCAGGTGCTGCGGTCTGCTTCCAAGTTTGCGCCTGGACATCGCGTCGAGCGTCTGGCACCTTTCTGGGTCCCAAACCGAACCGGACCCCGTCCGGCTTCTCCTGCTCCGAGTTACTGTCCGAAGCCCGAGCTGATGAGACTGTGGTGTGTGGCCTCTGCCCGGACTCGCAGCGCGCAGTGAAGGCAGCGTTCAAGTTCACGCTTCTCTCCCCGCAGCGAGCGGAGGGCAAGAGGGGGCATGGGCGAGAGGAGGCACCGCCCGCCCCGCCGACCCTGACCCCGCCCTCCCCGGGTAACAGGCTCTGCAGACACGGACTTCTGTCACTTTTTAAAACCCTTTCTTCCCCAAGCACCTCTCGCGGTTTTGCTTGTTTTACCCAGCTTTAAGTAGCCCGTCTAAATCAGGGTTTTCACACCCCGTTACTGGGTCTCAAACACCAGTTCCTCTTCTGCAGTTCAGAGGAAATACCTCGCTGGTTTTCCACAGGTGTCTCTGAAACCAAACCGGAACCAGAGAAATATTTATTTCTCCTTTTTCTTGCGAGCAGCTGTTGCTGTTATTTGCCCACTGCGTTTCAACAAACAGCGTAGAAAACACCTCCGAAGTTTCACAGACGCTCTGACAGCGAAGCGCTGAACGCTGTCGCCTCCTACCGTTCGCCTCCACGCACTGCAGGCGGTATCTCTCAATGCATGGTGATACATTACACTAATACATGCAGCATGCTTATGATCAGCCTGGATTAAATATTTAATTCACCCCGCGGAGACTTCAGTAAATAATTCTGTGCATAATCTGTCACATTAATGAAGACAAAGAAGAAAAAAGGCAAGTAACTCAAAGTAAATTTTATTTGTATTTAACATTCCACATCACTGAGAACAAAGACTTCTCTGCTTTTGTCAACAGCTGGCTGAGGACGGTACAAAAAGAGCAGCCACTTTAATAAATGCATCGACTTTGACTTCATCGGCTTTCTGTGAGGTGGTTTCAGATGGACGTGTCACACAGGAGGCGTTTAAAATGTTCCTTGGTTTAATGTTTTCATATTAAAAAAAGAAGCCAAACTGTGGGAGGAGGTTGTGAAGCGAGGAGGATACAAACTGCAGGTATTGCTTAGTAGTAGATACAAATGTCTCCGTGCTGAGAGGAAGTGTTCAGAAAGGGAAACGGAGAGGGAGAGCATGCAGAAGTGGAGAAACTGGAGTTAGTTATTTGATAAGACTGTCTTTACAAGGAGAAATTAAACCAATTAACTGTATTTAGTGACTGGAGCCCTTTTCAGACACATCCTTCACCTGAACACGGCAGCCTTCTGCATCACATTCATCACAGCAGGTCGAATGATGCAGTCGCTTTAGAAAGGACAGGCAGGCACATGGCCCTTCTGCATCTTTGTGGTGTTCGCCTCACTAAAGCCTGAACCACAGAAACCTGCACACGATCGAAAATTCGTTTCTACGTTTAGGAAATATTTAGAGATTCTTCTCTTACTTAATTCTGCTTTAAAAGAAAAGCAGGAATCTGAATGTTGAGCTTGTGTGTAAGGGGAAGCACCATGCAGCACACATACAGAGATTCCACTCTTAGTCACTGTAGCCAAGTGTGAGTACACACCTTCAGTGTTTGAGGCTACAGGTGCCAGGCATCACAATTGTTCTCAGAAAGCAGCAGTGTGACCTTCAGTGTGAATAAAACAATCCATGTCTGAAAAGGGCTGAAGGTGTCACAGGATCGAAACCAGAGAACATCCAGGTGCAGATTTGTGTGTTGGTTTATTAGCCAGCAGTCATTTCTTCATGTTTCCATGTTGTATGTAGGCTGTTGTTGGATAGTATGTGCTCGAAACCGATGTACTGCTGTCCAGCCATCTGCTCAGTATCTGTAGTATGGACTCCGCGATCGAGACCGCGACCTCCTGGAAAAAAGAGAAGACTCCAGTAGAGCAGCGTAACAAACAAAGATATGACTCCTGTGCTTTAGTGTGAGATTAAAAATTTGTTTCTAATCTAATGAAGATCATCTTATCAGCTCCATCAAGGCGCGCAAGCGTCAGTTGTTTGGTTGTTAGCAGTATTACAAACCAACTACCCGAATGACTTTCTGTGAAAGTCAGTGAAGAGGTGTCTGCACCTCAGTCAGTGGGGTTTGGAAATATCCATCTGAGTTTTAGAAACCAATTCAAATAGTAAATTTTAGCACAAAGTTCTTTTATTTATTTAAAATAAGTATTCATGTCCATGTAGTTTAGCCCCAGTTCTTCTTTTTTACAAACATCCCTGAAGTAAACAAGCCTAAGACATCAATAACACATTACCATTAGGCAGTACAATGTTCATCCAAAATCATTCATCAGCCTTCACTTCAGACCTAAACTGATCATCTAAACACAAGTTATAAACATAAAGTACACTTCCTGAGCACTTTATTAGAAACACTTTTAAACCTGCTCATTCAAGCAGGTGGCAGTGAAGTGTGTAACATGTTACAGGTCAAGAGCAGGTAATGAGGATACAGCTGTTCTCAGGGACTTCGACTGTGGCATGACTGTTGGTGCCACAGAGGCTGATTTGAATATTTCTCACACAGTGCTGATTACTAGTGGCACTAAAGCCAAAAAAACACAGAGTGATATCTGTGGACAGATGAGGGAGATCCAATGAGAAAGGTCAGATAACCACAAAAAGGAGCTCAACAGACTGAGCACGAGACCCACGTCTATGTATGAAGGTTACAGACGGACAGGACGTTTGTCCAATACACAGAAATTATGTAATGCTGTTGAGATGAAAGGACTAGAAGCCCCAGTGTTGGCAGAAAGATGTGGAATCCACTGACAGATGCTGTTTGGAGAGTAAAGGGAGCCCTGAGCTGAGTATTAAATGGTAAAAACGGACTGGTGCTTAAATGGTACTTTTCTACTCAGTTACACACTTTATAACCAGAGGGAGTAGGAAATCGATCCACTCACTTTCCAACTGGTAGACGAGCTTATAGTGTTCCTAATAAAGTGCTCGGTGGAGGTACACATGTGGCTGTAGAGAAACTTCCTGAAAAGGTATTGACCTCTTTGCATTTAGTCTGACTTTTCAACACTAATCTGTACTCTAATTTGCAACTGATGAGAAGACAAATAGCTTAACTACGGTGTCTGCAGGCCTGGTGATGAGCCTTTGAGACAGTGTGTGTGTGTGTGTGTGTGTGTGTGTGTGTGTGTGTGAGTGAGAGTGAGAGAGTGAGAGAGAGAGAGAGAGACAGAGAAAAAGAAAAAAAAAAAGACATAATTCATTCTGCTTCATTGTGGCTGTGCAGATTCTTGTGGCTTCTCACATACCTTTTGTATGAGTTGTATTCTCGGCCTGAGGGACAGAGGACAGAGCCACGATGAAAAACAACTGCATGCCAGAACATCTTAAAGCCCATAAAACTGGCAGAGCAGAAACTGATGGCAGCAAATCAGAGCCTGAGCTGATTAAATATTTTGGTTACTTCTGTGCGAGTATGCAAGGCTGCAGAACAAACACTGCATGTTCATTAAGCCACATTCTAATTACACAGGAGCCATGTTGCTGCTGTCAATCAAAAACCTAAAGCCTTACCATATTTGGATGGAGAAGGCGAGTGGCTCTGTCGCCCATATTGTCTTTCCCATTCGTCCCTTTCTTTCTCACGGCGCTCGCGCTCCCTAAACGCAGAGCGCCAGGGTCAGAAAGTTGCGACACACAAATACCAAACGGTCCAGCTAGGCACACAAACACGGACTTACTTCATGCGTATCTTGCGTGCCATGGCTCGCAGTTCGCCTTCTCGCTCCTGTAAAGTAAACAACCAGCAATAAGAGGAAATAGGTGGACAAAGACGCTTCTGTCTTACTAAACCTCAGACATGCTCACACACACACAGACACACACACACACACACACACACACCTGTCGTTTGTGTTCCTGCTGCTGGATCTTCACCTGAGCGGCTTTCTTATCCGCCTTGGCTGCAGGTCAGACAAAAGAAATAATTTAGTTAAATCAGATCTTTATCATCTTTTTCACTTTGCATAATATGAGAAAATCTTCAACAGTTTCAAGTTGTGCACAGTGCTGATTCTTAATTCGCACGCTAACCACAAGCACATGCAATCTGCTCGGCTGCACTCACACTGCTTGTTGAGAGCCTTCTGCATTCTCAGCTTCAGCCGTTCCTGTGGGGTCATCTTGGGCTGCAGGTGACACAAATGTGTTAGCACAGCTTTCCATGGCCGGAAAAAAAAAAAGAGAGAAAAAAAAAAAAAAAGAAGTGTGTGTGTCAGTGTGCACGCATGTGTTAGAGAGAGGGGGAGGTACCGGGGCTATTGTACAAATTCAATACCATCACCTTTACGAACAGTAGCTGGTGGAGATAAAAAGGGTGACAGATTACAAGTGATTGAAAACATTTTGTGTGTTGGAACAACAGACACAGGCTCTGTGTGTGTGTGTGTGTGTGTGTGTGTGTGTGTGTGTGTGGACAAACTGCTGCTTTAGCTTGCAACTGCTGTGGGACAGTTTAGAGACAGGCCAGGATCAAAACAACATGAACACAAATATATAGTTTATATAAAAAAAAAAAAAAAAAAAACAGTTGCAAGAAAAAGGTTGGGGACACTTTGGAATTACTATGATTTTTGCACTGATTGATCTTCATTTTGAAACCAATCTTTATGCATTTCAAAAATTTAAAACAACCTGGGTAATCACTGAGTACAGGCAGGGAAAAGTACTTCCAAAGTTAATTGGAATCAGGCGTTCCAATTGATAAGGTGAGACTGAAGTTTGGGTCGTCTCCAAATCGAGGAAACTGAGAACTGCCGATTATCTCTCTGCAAAAATAGCATCAGGAATATAGAGTATAGTCCTGGGGAAAACACCCAAGGGTAACAACAACATCCCTGGACTCTCTGCCAAGTTGTAGACACAAGGTTAATTGTGACCCCACAGGAAACCACAACTCTGCAAACTCTACACCCCAAAAAACCAGAACACCATCCTGTGAAGCACGGTGGAGGCACAATTATGCTTTAGGCCGACTTGTTACCCCAGGTTTTGGACACCTCGCGATCGTAAGGAGAGCAACAAATTACAACATATTTTACTGGAAAATGTAAACCCACAAGGAGAGGACTGGTAATCCAAGAACAGAATGAACCAAAGACAAAGAAAATTCAAGGTTTGGATGACCCAAGGCAGAATAGTCCTGACCTTAATCCATCTGGGGAGGGCTGTTTGACGGCATTTTCACACCTAAAGTTAGTTTACCCTGGTCCAAATCGGTTGATGAGTTTTGTTTATTTACACACAGAAAACTCCAATCAAACCAAAAAGTATCACTAAAAATATGTGAGAACATTCAATCTGCTTATTGGCCACGTGTCTAAGATGGGAAGAAAATGCTGTGCTCTGGAGCAGCAGATAACTCAGAGTTTATTCCTAACATTCATGTTTATCTGGGTAATATTTTACAGTTTGTGTACTGAGCACATCTGCATTACTCCGCTACATCCCAGAAAGCAAAGCACACCTGTCTGGGTGTGCTTTGGGTCTGGATCTGGATCGAGACCTCCATCTCCAAAGGGACTCAATGTGGTTGTTTTGTCCACACCTGGAGTGTGATTACCATGTTCACACCTGCACAAAGGAACAACACCAATGGGGAAACAAACGTCGCAGAAATACTGACGAACTCAAACAGTTATGTAGAGGAACAGGCCCAGACTCTCAGTGTTGTCTCATAAGCAGCGATGACAAACACATGAAGGATTATTGCAGTTGAAAATTCAAATATTGAAATGAGTGATTGCTCAATGTGTTCAAGAAAGGCATTAACTGTTTAAGAAATCAGACCCCATGAGTAAGTAATGCAGAAATCATAATTCTCATGGTAACCCAAAGATTTTCTTGCAACTGTACGAACACTGCCAGAGAGAAGAAAGAAAAACAAGGACTGGAGGAGGAGAGAGGGTCAGAAAGTGAAACAAGAGCAAGTTCAGGTCCGGTGAGTTTAAAAAGTTGGCCAGTGGCGTTTTGTCACGACACACCCTTCGTTGGGCTGTTCAAATCTGGCCAGGCAAGAAAAACTGCAGGTCACAAGCTGCAGGCAACAGACGAGCTGATAACAAATGTACACTATTTGACTGTGTGACAGTTGGGATGTATTCAAACCTCGTCCTCTCTTCCAGGAAAAGAGTGAGAAGAAAAGTCGTCCATGACAGAAATACATTTCTCAAAACAGTTTCGATGATTTACTCTTAAAGGGAATTGCTGAAAAATTTAGGAAGTCTGCTTATTTGCTCAATTGTTGTTTTGATCTTTGTGTCCATTTGTACTTTTGAAAGTGTCCGACTATTTCTTTAATCTATATGTTCGTCATTCACGTGTTCATTACTGATTTATAGATTGTCATAAGAGGAAGAAGTGATCTTCTTCATCTCAAGACCTTTGATGTGTCACAGTGTGTTTATTTTAGACTAAAAACAGATGCATAAAGATAACTGCACACTCTCTTCTCTAGAAACTGCACACATGCATCCACCACCAAGATTAAAATCATCATCAAGACTTCAGAAGACGTATAAAAGTTCACTTCATAAAGAAATGGCAGCATTAACTTAGACATCTGGCAAGAATACTGTAGAGTAATTTGCAGGGCGTGTCCACTTTAGGGGGAGGGGGATAAGAATAAAATAACTGTTCTCTGTGGGCAACAATGGCTTCTACATCCCAGTGTGGTGGACAACCAAGTCAGCCTGTCAGGGATGAGGGAGGCGTAGGCTTTAGCAAGAAACCCAGCTAGATCAAATTCTTACTGACTTTGGCAGCTCCCGTCTCTTTACCACCCGAAGTGTCAGGCCTGGAGAGAGGAGAAGAAGAAGAAGACAGAAAAACACGATGAGGCGAAGATGGCATATTTATATATGCAAACTGACTTTCTAACAGGTGTAACGCTGAAGGGTGAGGATGGCTTTTAAATGTGAAAAGCAATAAAGAACAGGTGTTAAATTGTTCTGGCTTCGTGACACTGAAACTGACTGTTTTAAGACTCTTATTTATGGACTTATTTATTGTTCACTGGTGCAGCACAGGCCTAGTCAGGTGCCTTAAGTCTGAAAAGTGATGATGGTAAATAGAGACATGTCAGCCAGAAAGCAATAAAGTACTACTTATATTTCCACTTTATAGCACAGCTTATCTCCAAACCTTTTGTCTTGTGTGTCATTAAACTCAAATAGCTTGCTGTTCAGCTTTTGATTAGTCAATTTAATGAGTTATGAGTCGAAAGTGTGCTTTTCCTAAGACAAAACCACACTTAAAGAACGGGGAAAACTACAAAGTTTGGAAAAAAACAGTAAAAGGATGAAAACTGTTGGTGGTTTTTAATCAAGCAGCCTGAAATGTACGTGTCTATTTTGCCTAAAAATATACCTTTTAGACCAACATCTCCTAAAATGTGGGGCAAGGCCCCCTGGTGGACTAACAATATATAGCAGTCAGGCCACAAAAGGTCAGTCACAGTGACTAAAGTCTTTGTAAACATGTTTAAATAACCAGGAAATATTTAAATGACAGCTGATGAAGTGTAGAGATTTCTCTTTTGTCTTTTAAATGGATCTCGCTCCTGTTCTGATCATTTTACGAGGAAAAAATTAAACTGGAGAGATGGTAATGAAGAATTATGCTCCACTAAGAAATCATTAAAGCCCAAAATGAATCTGTGACAACACAAGGCCAGAGACACTTAGTCTCATTTATGTGTGATTAAGGGTTTGGATGATCGGCAGAATATTTCCAGATTTCTGACAAGGCCAGGGAGCTTTCATTTTGGATATTAAAGACACCGCTCCTTCTATAATATTGATTATATACATTTTCACACTCGGTTACAGTGTTTTAGGGTCTTCTTACTTTCTTAACTTGTCAGAGATGGCAATGGTAGCAGGCTGGGCCCCTCTGTGGGCAGGGGATGGGCTACGGCGAGGACGGCTAGGGGTTCGTGAGGGACTGTGGCTGCCGCTGTCACCACGACGATGTCCTCCACTGCTCCGACCTCCTCGCCTCGAGTTGCCGCCCTGACGTGAGCTCGAGCGGGACCTAATAGAAAGACAAAAGGGCTTCAACTACAGAATTCTGTTAGGCAGCTCATGTAGCACTGCTTACGGATTTAGCCAACCTTGTTCTTCTACGTGCCGAGTATCGTCTCCTATCCCTGTCTCTGTCCCTATCCCTGTCTCGATCCCGGTCTCGTTCTCGCTCTCTGTCCCTCTCGCGTTCTCTGTCTCTGTCGTTGGAGCGTGACCGGTCACGTCTCCTCCACGATCCTCCGTTCCCTCCTCTACCTCGGGAGTAGGACCTAGAGCGCCGCCTTGACCGCGAGCGACTCCGGGATCGACGCCCATCTCTTCCCCCGCGTCCTCGTCGGGGTCGGCGTGAATGTGACGATGAGCGAGAGGAGGACCGAGAGGAGGAGTGCGAGGAGGAAGAAGGGGAGTGGCTGCTGGATGACCTTCGTCTCCTGAATAAACAGAGACAGCGTTTCAGTATAAATACAGGCCAGCACCTAGCCTATCATTACATCATATTCTCCGCTTTTAAATGTGATATATTGTTTAATTTATAGAAAAATTTTGATAACCGATTTCAGCTTTGAAAAATACCCAATCAGATTTTTCTTTATGCGCATGCACACTTCAATAGTTCCTTTCTGATAGTCTGTGATTATTTGGTCAGATACTCTGAAAGCTGATCCACCTCTCCGACCACAAAAACAATCGATATTCTTTCTGCATGAACAGCTGCGGTCATTTTAATTAACAGTGACTGCAAGAAGAAAAACCAGGAGGAGGGAAAGTTACCGACCGGGAGCCCCTGCTATGACCTGCAGAGTGCTGCGAGTTGGAAGGGGCGTGGCCAGAGTGAGGAGCAGCAGTTTGCGGTGCTGCCGCGGCTTCCTCGTCACTGCCGCCGAAGCTGGTGATGAAGGTGATCTTCTCTGGACCGGGAGTACGTGAGCGTGAGCGTGACTCAGAGCTGGACTCTGACTCTGGCCTGAAAGTGATCAGAAATTTTTTTTAGTTAAGACACACAGAGGCAGACAACCAATCAGAAAAGTGGGACGGACAACTCAAGTGGGTGAACTCACCGTTTATAAGGATCATATGTTGGACTGTCTCTCCTGGCGTAGCTGCAAGAGGAAAGGGCGGGTTAACATAATGAACTTCACCATACCTCAGAACGTGGTTAAGGAAAAATAACGCAAATTTACCTCGGAGGGCTGATTTGTCTTCCTTTTAGCCTCTTCTCTCTAAACTCCCTCCTCTGTCTACGAGAGCGACGGCCCTGAGACAATCAAACAAACAAACATTATAAAACCTGTAAACACAACCCACACAAACACTTCCCTCAGCAGATTTAGTCTTACAGAATACATGGCCTTCTCCGCCTCCAGAGCTTTGGCATGTTTGATGGCCTCCACTTCTTCCTTGTCTTTCCTCAACATCCTGACAAATGGGTAGCACAATCACAGCATTACAAAAACCACAAAAATAATTATTTAAACACAGAAGTGCATCAGCGTGAAGAAAAGAAAACCAATGATCCTCAGTGTAACAGCACGAGATACATGCGTTCGTGTCGGAGCCACGGCTCAGTGTACTCATTACGGTTTATGTTTTAACGTCAGATGCTCACGTTAAACATTGCCATGGTTTCAAACAATAACAAGAGTGGCTGTACGAGCAATGGCTCAGGCTTAAATTGTTCTTATTCCTCAATTTCAGAAAGTGTTTTTTTTACCCCACGGGCGAGCAGCTAGTTTATTTGGGCTGCACAAAAGCCAATTAAGACAACACTAAAAATGAAAAAGCTCATTTTACACTGTGAACCATACAAAGCTACTCCACTGTAGTCCAAGAATACAAACATGTTGCTCAAAGTTCACCTTTACTCGACAGAACTTATTTTGAAAGAGATCCTCAGTCAATCGAATTAAAAGCAAACAAAAAAAATACCTCCTTTTTTTACTGTGTGTATTTTTACAGTATCTGCTGAACTTAAAACACTGCAGAAGCTTGTAATTAATATGACTATAACCCAAATACATCAAGTTTGAGGTCAAGGATATTACAGTTAACAAAATTAAACCACAAAACAAACAAACAAACATTAAAAAAAAACCCAAAAAACAACTACATTAGAAAAAATATTTCAGTTAACCGAAAAAATTATAATAAAATAAAAACCAGACTTCTGAAAATAGTTGATAAAATGTATCACAACTTCCCTAAAGATTCAGACATGTTTACTAAGAATTTGGTCTAAAACACTGAGTCAACTGAACTTTCAAAAAGTTCTGTTTTCACAATAATACCTAAAATTATTTTCCTAAATCTCACCTCTGAGATATGTCTACACAATTATACTTAAAAGACTAAAAACTTAACAGAATTAAAAAAATAAATAAATAAAAACAGGAAAAAAAACCCAACAACAAAAGAACCCTGAATTTAAAAACAAAAAGCTATATTGGCTATATTAACTTTACTTTGATCAAGACACTAATTAAAATTTAAAGAACCACTGACAGCATGATGTCATTAATGACATGTTACCTGACAAAGTCTCCTTCAGCCATTCCATATGGCGTTGCCATTTTGTTCAGGTCCATCACCTGCTCCTGGTTCAGCTCATCAACATCAACCTCCACATCTGAAAGCACACACACAGACACATCATTTTTTAACAAGTCGATTTCTTACCCAAGCATTAAACAGGAACACTGTTGACCTGAGATCAGATCGTCAGTTCACAGCATTTAAAACACAATTATCACATAGCCAAGAAAAACCTGCAACCGGGCAGAAAAGATGAGCAGTTCCAGCTGAGTGGATCACTTTTATAAAGACAACCTTCTCCAGGTACAGTGTAAGATAACTAGTGTTATTTCTCAATAACTAGCGTTTCACACGCTGTTAAATTGCTTAGTTCAACAGCATTAATTTCTCATTGGGATGTGACATTTCTCCTTCGCTGAAGCCCATTCTGAGGGTTAGTCTGAAGCTAATCCTGGTCCAGCTACACAGATGTGCATCTGGCCATTTGAACCCTGCACTGCATTAAATGATGTCACAAATCCAGCTCGCACAGTCAAATTGACAATTTTAGTCTCTTCTGAGAAACGTTCTGTGGAATAACTCGCACACATCCAAGAGACGAAAAGCTGATCAAACACATTCTCTGTGGACAGCTGCACCTCTAAATATTTTATTTGGTCACCTCTAAATGTTTTATTTGGTCATCTCCTGAATTTCATTTCCCTAACACATAGATTACTCCAGTGAAACATGCTCACCGATATCTGGAATGCCTTCGTCATCTTCGGATTCACTGTTTTCTGAATTGTCTTCCTCCTTGTCTGACTGGGGCTCAGGCTCTGCTACAGTGCTGTCCTCATACGTGTAACCAATGGTGGCCTTCTTCTCAGCCAGTCTGCACAACACAAGGAAAGATTTATAAACACAACTTAAAATACTGGATTTCACAGTGGAAATAAAGAAATCACTTTAAGATTAAGTTCATACTTTTTCTTCTCATCCTCGTTTGGTTTGGGCAGACCACCATAGAGCTCATCCAGGTAGATCTGGTATAAACACTGCTCCTCAGAGACTGCAGGAGGACAGGAGGGATTTAAAGAGCACAACACAACTGCAAAATATACCCACTGAGAGCAGGTCAACACACTGCCATGGTCACATTAAGAATACAGGTGCAACACTATTAAGCGCATTACATAGTCATGTAGATTTGGTGTGATAACACTCACTGTTGGCAAAGTCATTCTGTACAAGGCCTCTGTAGCGCTCATAGTTACACTTTCTCTCCTCCATCTCCTGCTCTGGAGTGCTGCATGAGACAAAGAAGATTGTTGGTCACATTAAACACCTCACTGAACACTTAAATCTCACCACACCAAACTGGTTTGTCTCCTCACCAAGCATGAAAGATGACTAAAAATACAATCTCACAGATGACCTGTTCAATAACTGAGCAGCGGGTGTTTTATCACAGAGTAAGAACCAGAAGTCTTACTAAAAAGCCACTCTTCGGTTATTACCACAAGTTTCAATGCACCAGCACAAGCAGTCAGTGAAGTGATCGGCATTACAACACATAAAGATGGAAACAGACAGTCGTGCTATGACCAGCGTTTTTCAATTTTATTTTGTTTTTAATTCTATTCCGTTTTCCATCACTTTGCAGAATTGCTTGGTATTTTTTAGATTCGTTTTTACTTTATAAAAAGGTTCCGTTTTAGTTTAGTTTTTAATTTTAGTCTTTTAAATTATAATGTAATAGGAGGGGTATTTATCAGAGAAAGTAGTCACCCGGTCATACCAGCAACCACCGTCAACAAAGTCTCCTCATGGGTGGTGTTTTGAGAAATCAATCAGGTTCTTTACAAGTTATTTAGCAGCAGGTTCTCCACAAGCACGAGTCCAAGATTGGAGAGAGGTGACCATCATTCGGCATTTTGCCTGACCAGTCACAAACTGCTCTCCTTCACCCCAGTGGGCGGCAATCTGCGACCAACCAAAGGCCTACAGTATCAGGGCCAGATCTGCTATCATGCTGTTGCAGCACACCTGCGTTTTGGCATGCAGATGCATTTTTGGGAGTTCCTTTCACAAGGTGTAAAATGTTTTCACACACTGTTTATTTTTGGCACTTGTTATTGAAATGGACTGACTGTGCTTGTGTTTAGAAAACAGTGAACCTGTAAAACTAACCACAGCTATGATCAGCATTTGAGGATTGTGCTGACACCTTATTTTAGGTGTTCAGTCAATCCTGCAGCTGGCAGCTTCACACCACTGTCCAAAGACATACACATAATGTCAACTGCTCTCGTACTGAGCAGGATTACTGCTACAACCACACATCATCAGCAGGGAAACACCAAAATGTCTTACAACGGCCTAAAAATCAGTTCACTTTCCTATTAGCGGGTCAACAATCCAGCACTTACTGACCACAGTCTTAAAACCCAGGAAATCCAGAGGACCATGAGGACCCATTTTAATAATATGTATTCATACTGGGAATCAAGGTCATGCAAGCTGTTGCCCTTCTGCTCCACAGGTGGTTTCTGTCCTCCCTGAGCTCACCTTAGGACACCTGCGTTACAGTTTGGACAGATGTACTGCCCCAGTCAAAGCCCCCACCTGCCACTGTCTTAGGAGCGGGTCACCAGAAGCACTAAAGCTGTGCTTGTAGAGTCATAAATCTACTACTACAGACTACTGCAGCAGGTGTTTCGGCTTCATTATTATAGGAATTATAATACAAGTAATTAAATTAGCCTATATTACAGGTGACAAAATGACCTGTTTGGGGATTTTTCTCCTTAAAACAAACAAACAAACAAAAAAGGGGTCACCATCTCTTTTGACCACTAAAGTCAGATCAGCTCAACCTCATATAAGAGCAAATGTTTCCATGTAATTAAAAAAAAAACCAAAAAAAGAACAAACTGAAAACATAATCCATACCAAATTATGAATGGTTATTTTTTGAAAGCCCTCTTTGATGAACTAACTGTTGAATATATAACAATCTGTACTGCATATGTACAACAATCTATAGTAAATGTGTGAATCTCCTCACAACTGTCCAATGTAGAATCATACAACAAAAAAGTAAATATATAACCGTAAAATGTTCACACAATGTGGGTTCCATGTTAAAAATGTGACTTTAAGTACTTTCAGACTTACGATGTGGTGAGCAGAGGTGGAGTGTAGGTGGGGATGTAGTCCAGGTGAGCCCTTACATCAAACCTGTCAATCATGTTGTTGGCATCTCCTTGCCAAGGCATCCTTCAGACAACAAAAAGGAGGCAACATGTGATCATAAGCGCTGTGGTGTGGCTCGTCTCTTATGTGTGGATTTTGTGATTTTCCTCACATGTTTGCAGGGCTCTCTGCAGCCAGTGCCACAGCTGGATCCAGGTGGATCTTGTAGGCTCGACCATGAACTTGAAGAAACTGAGCAGGATCTTTTTTCTATCAAAAGAAAATGAAACTGTCAGAATGCAATGCATTGACTAATATCTAAAAACTACGAAATGTTACACTGCACAGCACTTTAATTAAACTGAAACCAACAACCATGGAAATTAACTTCTAAAAATTCACACTTTTTTTTAAACAGTAACTGGTTCATTGATGCAATGAGGATAACTGAAAGCTGTGTCAACAGCATATGTTTTTAAAAAATACCACAAAGTTTAGACCCACATAACTATGTATAAATTTGCTCAAATCTTTTCTTTTTTAAAAAATCCTGCAGTAAGAGTGTTCAGGCAAGACCTGCTCACTCGTACCCGGTGGTACACTGTGGCAATGCTACATGATAAAGTTTCTTACTATCTTCTCGTAGTACTCTCGCCGGCGCTCGCCTCGCCGTTTGTAGTCTACCATCATGCCACGGAGCTTGCGCTCGTGTTTGCGGGCCTCCTGCCACATGACGGCTCCGCTAGGGGTGGGGGCGCGGCGGGGCACGGCTGCTGCTCAGGGCAAACAAGCAAGAATCATGGAAGACAGGGGAAAGTGAGATTAAGGGGTGTTAGGGGCAAGATTAAAAATAAATAAATAGTGGACTTGATAAACAGAGCACTTCAAGAGCTCTGAACTCCACATTATTTCCTTGATATACAGACAGAAAGTATCTCTTACATATTACAGTTCATATCTCTGATCAGAACCAACTACAGAGTGCAACCAGCACATCTGCAAACACACTATCAACACTCACGAAGATTCACAGTTTTAAGCTTCACACTAAACACAGGTAATGTTGTAATGCAATCGTTACCTAGATTCCTTGTTAAACACTTGACAACCAAAGGCACGCACTGACGTCTAAACTTCTAACAAGACAACAGAAACATAGCCTGAGATTAAAAAGCCATGAATGCACAAATTATCTGTAGTCTGTCTATTCATAAGTAAACTAAGGCATATTGGTCACTTCCTAAAACTGAAGTTGTGACACGTCATGTTAGAGATGTGAGGGAAATTCAGTGTAACGGGAAACCAAAAATGTATATGTTTGCCATTAATTTGCATCAGTGTCTACACTTCCAGTGCATTTCTCGGAGTGTTTGACGAAACTCATATCCGCACTAATGACAGGATTATATTTTTCTATAGCGGATTCCTAGTCCTCATTTGGCTAAAACAGGGACTAATGAAATAACTCAAACAAGCAAATATACTCCGATTTATATTTTAAAAATAAATAAAATGCATTTCACTGGAAAAAAAAAAACACCTAAAATATGATTTTGGTACATCACATAAATTACAGTAACTGTGAATCAAGGTGTCACCTCTGCATCTCCTACCACTAAACGTACTTTTAATTTACAGCAGTAGCTAAACAGTCTTAAGCTAAAAAGCTAACCTAGTTTTCTATCCAGTATTAACGTAGTTAAAACGGTTACATTACAAAAACGGTTACATTTTGTCCTAAAAATTGTTATTTTAACCCGTCTACGCCCCACTTTCAGCGTTCAGATTCAGCCGGGTGCTAAAAAAGTCTGTGTTATCAAAGTGATGTAGGAGTTTGTTAGCATACACACGGGCCTGACTGCGCATGCAGCCCGGGCCTTTTTAATGCCATCTAGCATCACAACTAGCCTAGCTTAGCTGATCTGCAAAAACGTTGGGAACAATAGTCAAAAAAGCAGCTACGAAACACTGAAATCTACACACAAGTCCGTACAGGGCATTCAGCGCGGTCTAAATTCTCACAGTGTACCTGTTTTACTAATCGCCAACACACACTCGGGTTGTTTTCAGTCGGCCAAAAGCGACGTTAGCAGAGTGGAGCGTAACCACACGCCTCCTTAGCGTATATATAACAGGCTGCAGTACCGGCTCTGGCCTGTGAGGGCGCTGCAGGGGAGGCGTGTGTATGTAACATTAATGGGAAGATACTTTTGAAAAAAATCTCCTTATAATAAAACAGTAAACAATAATCACCATCAATACTTCTACCTTCACAGCAGAGAACGCAGACCAGAGTCAGAGGAGATTCTATACAAAGCATCACAAATAAAAAAACATTTTGACAGCTTTCTTCTTCTTCTTTTTAAATTCACAGACGGTTTTAATACAATGCTCGGTGTCCTTTTGAAAAATTATGAATAAATATTTAGATTGATTAAATTGGGTTTTTAAATATAGTTTATACTTTGCTATGATAGTTAAAAGTTTGAATAAATGTAGTT